AGAGGTTGAAGGAGAAGGCAAAGGCGAGAAAAAGGAAGGGCAAAAAGAAAAGGACAGGAGAGAGAGGGACGGCAGGAGGGGGGCAGTGAAGAAGTAGGAGGAAGAGAAAAAAGAAAAGAAATGAAAAGTTAGAAAAAAAAAGTCTGCATATAGTATTTGAAATTCTTGTCTATGTTGGAGAGATAATGAAAGATCTCTACAAATGAGCGAAGTTGGTAGGCACCAACATTCATGGATTTTTGAGTTTCCCAGTTGCTCACCTTGTGGTGATATTTTATTTGTAGGTTAATAAATAAAGTTTGCTTGGAGATCAGAGGACATAGCCAGCCATAAACAAAAGTCAGGCAGTGGTAGCACACGCCCTTAATCTGATCACATGGCAGGCAGAGTCTCTGTGTGTTCAAGGACACAGCCAAGCGTGGTGACACATGCCTTTAATCCCAGTACCAACCATAGAGACATGGAGGTCTGTACAGACAGACAGTGACAAGGAAGTGAGGAAGTTGCACTAAGAGCCAATGAGAAGGCAGAACAGCAAGGCAACAAAAACCTCGGTAGATGGGAAGTAGCTCTTGGGAAGCTTCAGTGGCCTGGTGAGTTAAGGCTAGCTGGTGTCTCTCACTATTTCCCTGATCTCTAAGGCTTTCACCCCTATATTTGGCTCTGCGTTTCTTATTTAATAAGACCGTTTAGAAATTCGTCTACGCACCCTCACTGGTTTCTTTCCTATGTTATCCTTACGCCACTTGCTCAGAAGGAACAGTTTGTATAACTTAAAGTGTCAGTAGGATCCTTCCTGGGACCTAAGCCTATTTTATTCTCAGTATTCAATGTTAGCAGACCTGTCTTGTAAAATAGATTTATTAAATATTTGCTCAGCACTGCATTTCAATGTTGAGTTTGCACAATTCAATTATCCCAGTTTCTTGTTATGTAAAATGTCTCCAGCCCTAGCCCTTTAAAAGAGGGTTCGCACCCTCTGCTCTTCATACAACTTGAGCTGCAACTCTCCTTCCCCAGTTAGCCTAGACCAGGCTCTTCAGTTCATCAAATTTTGTTTGTTTTGTTTTTTTCCCATTGTATTTAATTCAACACACGCCAGGTTTTCTTCTCAAAGCACTCATTTAATAAATTTGCCCTTATCTTCCTAATCATAGTATGTTCCCTGCTCTCTCAGGTCTGGCATGATACTGTGTATATTTTCAATTTCCTTACCCAGTGGTGCGCATAGTACACAATCAATACACATCCCAAATTGATAGTCACAGCAATCTACAAGACAGTCATACTAACGCCATTTTAGCCAGGAGACAAATGCCAGGCATATTATGAAAAAAAAATCAGCATAAATTTCCTGTTTAAGTGGCCAATATCTCCTTTGAGTACACAGCATCAGTTACATACTGGAAAACTCTTTTCTGTTTGAAACTTATACATTTACCCATGATTTTTAATTTCATGCCTTGATGATTTAAAATATCACATTTACTTTTTATACTATTTTAAAAATGGTGACTGATGAAGTATTTCATAATTTAAAGAAGGTACCTGAATACACAATCTATTAGAATGAGTTGCATTATAGTGTATTAGTATTTCAAAATAGGTAAAACTATGGATTCATAATAATAATAAATATTTTTAATATTGTAGCACTTAATTTATTATTTTCATTTGAATTTTTGTTTTGTTTTGTTTCACTGGGTTTTGCATGTGTCTGGGTTTTTGTTGTTGTTTGTTGCATTTTTTTAACAAAAGAAATGCAAACTCAGGGGATTGCATGGATATAAATAGTAAAACTTTATAACATCTGCAATAAAATCTCTGCCTTCATGTATAAGCATGCAATATTTTTAGACCTAATTTAACAAATTCAATACAAAATTTCTAAGATGCCATTTAAATTAATGTACTTGTCTTGTTACATAATGTTAAAGAGTCACTCATTTCTTTGAAAACCTTTGCTTCTGGGGTCTTTGCTTACCAGTCTAAACACCAAGCTGTCACACAGAGAAAATGAATTTTTTAACAGGTGTTCTAAATGATGATATCACTATACATTGTCTATATCTGGAGCCTGCAAAGTGGCTGAATTAGAGGCCATGGACTTAAAAACATCTCTAAAAGTGTGAAAAGAAAAGCAGGGTTATTTGCGTATTTCACTTAGGACTTAGTTTACATATAAAATTTTCAAATATGATAATTAACCTTTTACTTTCGGGGACAGTCTAGAAAACAAAAGCAGTACTTTCTCTTACCTTTCTTCCTAAGTACAATTTATAGAATGAAGTATAAACTTAGTTGTACCAAGTCTCACAAAGTTCAAAATCCCTCTGCTGTTAATTTGGACATTCTATAGAAGAGAGATTTCCAGATTTAAAAGTTTCTCAGTCGTGGAAATATTTAATGAAAGTGGCTTTTATTCTTGTTTTATTCACATGTAACTTGGACAGCACAACTCTTATTTTGCTGCATAATTATATTGAGTTAAAACGCACATAAAATATTTCAGCGTGATGCTTTGCACCTGAAATTTCTCACTGACTTTTTAATTCCTATTTAGTTTAGAAAATAATAAAGTGACATCTTTCCTAAAAATAAAATAGGAGCAGAGGCAGAATATCAGGATTTTGTTTTTATTGGCGTGGCTGGGTGGAGGGTGGCATTTTGTGTGTCTTGTTGTTTGAGTCAAGGTCTCTAGAGCAGACGAGACTCAAACTCCTCATGTAACAGAGGATAACTTCCAACCTGCCTGCCACTTCTGCCTCCAACTCCCTAGCACCCAGACTGGTTGTGAGTCCTTCCATTCTCAGTAATGCAATGTCAGAGATCTGACCCAAGACATATGGATGCTAAGCAAGCACTCTACCATCTAAACAACACCCTCAGCACTCCTGTGTTTATTAGGACTCAGCATAAAATAACTTGAAAAATTTCCCTAAGGTATAGAAAATTTCTGTCTGTATTATGATCATCATCATCATCATCATCATTATCATTATCATCATTATTGATTTTTTTAAGGCTAAACTTTAACCAGGACACCACTGGCTTCAGGCTTATGAGTTCAATGATCACAGTCCTGTATTACCATGTCCTGCTTCATCCTGTTCTTAAAAGTTCACTTTCTTATAATTCCCCTGCTTGATGTGGACATCTGCCCTACTAAAGGAACTGTCACAGGGAGGATACAAGAAGCTAAAAAGCATGCCTTCTGATGTTATTTTTGGAGTATAACTTTGATACAGAAACTGAATTACCCAAGCCCCCCCCCCAAAATGAATTCTGGTCATTAAAATCAAGTATGTTTATAAAACAAATTAATAAGGTAAAAAAATAGAAAATTCTTTAAAGATTTTAAACTTTAATATTCTGTTAATATAAAGTAGTATTATAACACAGCAGAGGATTCTCTATTAATAATGGATTCATACCTACACACACTTACAAATACATGTTCACACTCATCTTTGCAGTTCTTTGAAGCAATCACATTTATGTCAGACGAGAGCACGTGTATATATAGAAATTGTTATGTATTAAAGTTACAGAATAAAATGAGAAATCTGTACTTCATTCAAGAAGAGGCAACATGAATTCTACCACATGAAAGAAAAATATTGTAGTCTTGTAAAACTTTGGCAATTTAAAAGCTTTATGAGAGACAATGAGACTTAAAAATGAACAGCTAACAAAAAAGTATAAAAACCATCAAGGAGCATTGAGAATAATATACAGGGGAAAAAAGGCTGTAACACATTATACAACACACACACACACACACACACACACACACACACACACACACACACATACACGTAAAATAAGGAAAAGTCATATGAAATCCCAATGAAATTCAAAAGAACATTGCTTCAGAAATGATTGCTATGTGTAAACAGCCCTTCCTTGGCACCTGAATGCAAGTTATAGACAGGAGACATGAAAGAAGATTTTTAAAACCAAAACCAAAACAACAAAAAAAAACTTGCTGTTTTTCTAATTTTAACTTTGTTGTGTTTTCATTTTTTTGGTGGTGGACAGGTGAATGAAGACATTGAATAGTGAAAGTGTAAAGTCCAATGTGAAACTCCAAAGTTTCAGAAGGGCTGTTCTAACTCTAGATGTTCATTGAGATGTATAGACTTTGGGGCTAATTGATGTTGTTGTGATTTTTTTTATTGCAAATCCATTATAATGAAGCTTTAATAAATAAGATATTTAATAAATAAATATAAGATTATATAAAAAATATATAATCATGGAATACCACAAGAAAATATAATAAACTCAATGAATCAAAAACACAGTCCATGAGTTATTTTGCTAAATAGCCCATATTATAAGATTAATACCAGTTACTCTTTAACAGATTATGTTCAATGACAAATGTCAATTTCAGATACTAAACATTAGCTTTACTGGGTTTTCAGTCTCAGTTGCGTAACATGAAAATCATCAAATGTGCAAAGGAAGGAAGAGGCTGACAATATCTCTACTACTGTCCTGACTTTTTATGAATATGTATGTTTATGGTGCACATCTAAGTATGGGGTTTCCTTGCAAGTAGGCACAGGCATGTAAGCAGATGCCTATGTGTGTGTGTATGTGTAGAGGCTCGTGGTAAGTTCTGCTAGAAAATTTACATCAGTGTGTAAGACAGAGCAACAACTTGTGATGGCAACCCCCAGCATCCACATGGACACACTTGTACACGTGCACCTGCAGGTGCACTTTCATACACATATAAAAATTAAAATCTAAAGACCTACATAGAAGAGGAAAGTATTTGTTGTTCTGGGGATTACTTTATTTGCTTAATAGAATAGTTTTCAGCTCATGTTCCTGCATATGTCATGCCTTCAATTTTTCATCAAGGCTAACAACTTTGCTAGAGTGTATAAATCATACATTTTCATTATATATTATCAATGGATGGATATCTGTTCTAGAATATGAAATAGATTTTTTTCAGATGAAAACTTTATTTGTTTCCTTTGTAGGGAAAGGAGAACATGGCAAACCATATCCTCTTACTGAAGAGGACCGTGATGACTCAGCTTACAGGGAAAACGGCTTCAATATTTTTGTCAGCAACAATATTGCTTTAGAGAGGTCTCTGCCAGACATCCGTCACGCTAAGTAAGTATGAACATGCCAAGTGTGATTGTTTCTTTGGTTATTTTGTGTTTTTTTTTTTTTTTTTTTTTTTTTTTTACCTTTTATTGATTCTTTGTGGATTTCACATCCTGCATTCTGATCCCACTTATCTTCCCATTTCTTCATAGCTGCCCTCTGCCTTTGCAACCCACCCCCAAAAAATGAAAAGCAAATTTAAAAGGAAAACCTAAAACCAAACACAAAAGCAAAAACAAACAAAGTAACAAACAAAGAATCTTGTCATGGAAACTGTAGTGTGACCCATTGAGGCACACAGTTTGCCCTTTAGTCCATACAACTGCTCATTGCCAAATGTCATTGGTCTGACTCAAGGCCTCTGGTTTCTGCTACACCAGTTATAATGGGCTCTCACTAGGGCTCCTCTTGGATATCCTGTTGTTGTCCTGTGTCATGCAGATCCTGCTGTTTTGGATGCATAGGTTAATCCCCTTCACATACTCCAACAGTTCATGGATTCAGGGGATGTTAGGGTGGGCCAACTCACAGCCCTGGTTCTGGGCCTGGGTGGTAGCTAGGTCAGTCAACTCCTTAGCTTTTTCTCATCAGGGTGAGCTCTCCAGCAACTGCTTTGGCTAGCTCACCCAGTGCAGCCTGCTGTAAGGATGGGGCCAGTTCTCTTGCTCAGGCCCTCAGATCCACTCCCGAAATCATGTCACCAGGGCCAGCTCTACTGTTTTGTCCTGGTAAGGTGTGGGACCCTCTCTTCCTATTGCTGTATGGGGCATAAGAGGGAAGGAGGTGGCAGGGTCAGCTCTCCTGCTCTCAATCCCTCAGCTCTACGGTGCTGCCCTGATGGGAAGTAGAGGCTGCTGCTTTCTTGTGTGCTGCAGCATGTGATGGTCACAGGTAGCTCTCCTAGTCTGGAGACCCCAGGGCCAGCTCGCTCACCTGACGTTTTTACATTTACTGCATATCACTATGGTATATGTAACCAAAGAGTCACATTAATCATTTGGATTAAAAATTTCATGTTTTGTAGGGTTAAGTGTATCTAATTAAAATTAAATAATTTTTGAAATTCTAAAAGAATGCCAACCTTATACTCATTGCTGCAATTTTAAAAAAAATGCAAAAAGCAAAGTAAGGGGGTAAGGCTGAGTTCTGAGGTGATGAAGCCTACCACAGCAGAAAAGGAACCGAAGCAGGAGCAGCCTACAGCTGCATGGGAGTCACCATGCTCCTCCTCAGTAATGAGCATGCACACATCTGGACAGCAGGAACATACCTACATCTTAGTGATCTCCCCCAAGCAGAACTGGGGCATGAACTTGAACCAGGTTATAAAGTGCAAGGCCCATCTCCAGTTTCCTCTGCCAAAATCCTACTTCCTAAAGGATCTACAACTTCCCAAAACAGTGCCATCTTTAGAGATCAAATGTTCAAACACATGAGCTTGTAGCCAACATTTTGAATCTAAACCATAGTACGGACTCTGAAAATTAATGCATATTCATTGACTGTATTACCTTCATTTAAAACAAAATGTTTTTAGAAGATGTCCACACTTTCATCATCTACATATTATGGGTTGGAGATAAACATTTTTTTCTCTGTTTGACATGTTATCAGAACTGTATTTGGACATGCACCTTCAATGGACTACTTTTTAAAGCCAACATTACTTTGGGTCCTTGACCTAATATTTCCATAAAGAGTGATTAGAATGAGCGATTACATGGTGGTAGTTTCTTCTTCAATTCCATGGCACTTTATGAATATGGTTTGACAGTTGACAGAGAGTTACATTGTATAAACTGATACAGGAATGCTGCTGCATGTAATCCTCTGGAGTTTACCTGTCTATAATGATGACCTCAACCCTATCTTTAAATTGTTAATTATAAGGGGATAGAATCTTTTGTGGTTTTCTGGGCACTTAAAGAAAGCTAAAAAACTGTGACAACATTGGATGTGAACAAGATTTTCAACTCCTTAGCATCTATTCCACTCCACAGGAGCCCCCACCGCAGTCTCCCCTAAGAAACACTTGTATGAGAGAGGAAAGGAGAGGGAGGGAGAGAAAGTGGAAGAAGGAAGGAGACAAAAATAACAGAAACTAAGAAAAACCGAGATTAGAGCTATAAATTAAATGAGAATTGTAGTAAGTAAAGCTCAGTGTTACTTCAAGATAATTGACACTTAAGAGAAAAAATATCTTATGCTTTAGGAAGCTATTATTTTATTTCCATCACTACTTCATTAATTTATTTGGCAAATATAATAATTATTGCATTTTTCATCAGAACCTGTGGTAAATTAGATTTTTCTAATGTCCTTAAGTAGAAGATTAATGTGAAGTGCGAATAAAATTTTTCCTAAACTGAAAACTCTATATATTGTCCTCGGCCTTTTATCCAAACAAATTATTCTCAAGTTATTTACATTTATCTGTAGCAGTTCCCACTGACCAAAACATTTCTTGTTACAAGAAATTCTATGCCTAATTGTGCTCCATCAAAGATGAATAAGCTGCATTGTTGGCATAATAAATATGCTCAGACAATAATTTCCTTTTACCTTCTTTCTCCTCCAACATTCCCAACCTATTAAGGTGCATTCGAGCGGAAAGTGTTACAGTTGGAAACAGCAGAAAGCTTCTGAGGAAAGTTGATAGACTGTTATTTTTAGAGCATATTTTTAGTGTAACCACAACCTTAGAAAAATATATCCTTACACAATCCTGAAAAGTAAGAACAAAACTAATTTGGTATTTTATTATACCCACTGAGCTTAGATTATCAAGAAAATATTATTCCAAATGTTAAGGAAGCAAACAGTGGCTACTCTTACCACAGTCTTACTTCATTACTGAAGTTGGATTCTGAAAAAGGTCAAATGCCATGGAGTAAAATGATATCAAACAAAAGGATAAAGCAAACACTAGCAGAGACTGTATATCAGGAAGGCATTTAGAAATGACCATGACAGCTTAACTTGACTTCAGTCCATATCTGATTCTCAAAAGGGCGCTAAGAGAACCCTGATGCTCCCCGCTGACTTTGTCAGAGTCTCCTCTGCAGAAAAAAAAAAAAAAATGCAAGCTAATGTCTTGCAGGAGGGATCCACACTGCTTAAAGTTCTGTGCTTCTGGGTTCCCTGTGACTCCCAAATGGACATGAATTTGACAGTAACACCAAGAGGCTCTACCCAAATGGTCCTAGAAATTACAAAATCCAATTAACACATATCTCAGGATTATTAGTTTAACTATTCTGCGGCTAACTGACCATAGTTTGTTTGTATTGATTCAGTCTGTAAAACAGGGTGCAAGATTTGGTTGACTTTAAAACATGACAGTTTAAAGAAACTTTGTGCTGTCTTGCAGTGTCATTACGAAAGGGTTTGTTTTTCTGGGCTTTAAAAAAATGTTGTGAAAATATTATTTTGCAGCTTTTCTTAGCTTACTCTTCACTGCAGTTCATAAGCTCCCTGTGTGTGTGCTTCTGGCATCCACCGCTGATCTATGCACCTGTTCACATGCTCACCCTTAGACAGCTTGTGTTCTGGGTGATTTTCTATGTTTAGTGTACATATTTGTTTACAATAATTCATTATCAGTTACTTTAGAAATCTCAGTCTGCAAGTATGTATTCTTTTATATTTCTTATTCCATCCTTTCCTACTGTTATCAAACCTAATACCCAGCTTTGATTATGTATGTCTTAAACAATAACAGATATGTCACAGACAATAACAGAACCATGGTCTTGGAACCATGAATGAAGTAACGTCAAATGGTAGTGGGCAATAATTTGGTGTGTCTTACTTATATCCTAGTAATTAAATTATTTCAAGATTTTTTTTTCCATTTAGGTTTTTTTTTAACTCATTTTCCATTTTTAAATCATCTCCATGTTTTGTGAACAGTTATATTATCTGTGCTTTGGTATTGTCTAAGCTCTCTCTACTTTTCCAGACTATTATTCTGTATGTTTTCAAAGTATAATCTATATAATCTGTACATTTTAACCACCCACCTCTTTGTCATGGCTGTATGCTCAACGTCTAGAATCTATCTTTATATCTTTTGTTTATTTTTTATTTCATTTCACACAATGCTGATAAGATATAAGGGCATTTGTGTGACAGATGTCCAGTCAGTAGTTTTCATAGTGGCTTGGCTTCATAATAACACATTTTTCCCCATAAGAATATTAATTATGTCTTACCTTCATATTTAGACACCTACATGGATGTCACATATATGCTTTGTATTATGTAGAACATCTTATTTAATGTGCAACTGAGGATGTAAAAAGACAGACTGCTGTTGCTAGAGTTTTCCTGCCTGGCCCACAGTCAGGGCAAATCTCTCTCACCCGCCAGTCCCAAGCCGCTCAAACCTGATCAAGTAAACACAGAGACTTATATTGGTTACAAACTGTATGGCCGTGGCAGGCTTCTTGCTAACTGCTCCCACAGCTCAAATCAATCCATCTCCATTAATCCACACCTTGCCACGTGGCTTGTGGCTTATCGGTACTTTACATCTTCCTTATCCTGATGGCGGCTGGCAGTGTCTCTCCCCCCCAGCTTCCTGTTCTCTCAATTCTCCTCTCTGTTAGTCCCGCCTATACTTCCTGCCTGGCCACTGCCAATCAGTGATTTATTCATTGACCAATCAGCAACACATTTGACATACAGACCATCCCACAGCAGACTGCATCAACTGCACCCCTCCCCCTGGGCCCCACAGTAGGGCCCACAGTCCTGGCAGCTGTACCAGAAGACAGAGTAGTCCTAAGGACCCCAGGGAAGATACCACTCACCACCCGCTAAACTCCTTTAAGCCTGTCCAACAAGCCCAGAATACACCTCCTCCCCTTAGCCCCATATCCCAGCCTAATACTTTGGAAGAAGCCGTAGGCTCTACTAGAGACCAGGCAGGATCTAGGAACCCCAGGTAAGGCACTGCCCACCACAAGCTAACACTCGTTAAAACCAGCCCAATAACCCTAGAC